AATAACAGTAGAAAAAAATAGTATTGATAAAAAATCATTGATATCATCATTTTATTTTTATTGTTATTATTCCATGTACTGTCATTATCATTATTATCATTATTATTATTATCATCATTATTATAATTACTATTATTATTATTAGTAGTGCTATTATTATTATTATTATTATTATTATTATTATTATTGTTATTATTATTATTATTATTATTATTATTATTATTATTATTATTATTATTATCATTATTATCATTATTATTATCAAAAATGATAATGATAATGATAATAGTAAATGCAATAATAACAATAAAATGATAATAATAATACAATAACAACAACAATGATAATAACATTAATATTAATGACAAATATTAATACTACTACTAATAATAGCAATATCAATAATGATGATGATATTATTCTTATCGTTATCATTATCATTATTATCGTCATCATTATTCTTATTACTATTATCCCCATCATTATTATTATAATTATTAATATTAATATTAATATAATAATTATTATTATTATCATTATTATTATTATTATTATTATTATTATTATTATTACTATTATTATTATTATTATTATTATTACTATTATTATTATTACTCTTGTTATTATCATTATTATCATTATTATTATTATCACTATCATTATTATTGTTATTATTAATGTTATTCTTATTCTTATTCTTATTCTTATTCTTATTATCATTATTATTATTATTACTATTATTATTATTATTATTATTATTATTATTATTATTATTATTATTATTATCATTATTATTATCATTATTATTATCATCATCATATATATCATCATCATCATCATCATCATCATCATCATCATCATCATCATCATCATCTTTATTATCATTATCATTATTATTAATATTATTGTTATTCTTATTATTGCTTTTATCATTATTATTATTACCATTACCATTATCACTATCATTAACACTGAAAATAATAATATCAAAGGCGACTTTAATAATAACAACAACAACACTAACCATAACAACAGTACTGCCAAGGAATAAAGCAATTCAGTTGTCATAACAGACAAAAAACTTGAAGGCGGAAACAGATCTAGACATTTAACACAGTTTCACGGATCATCGCTATTCTTATTAATCTTTTATATGACGACAGTTATGAAGCAGATCACCTTAATTAAGATTTACGGTCTAAGCCAACAGTGGGCGTGTTCGGACACGTTCTTTTGTTTATCCAAGCTCGTCATTTCATGGCTCTCGCTTCTGACGTCCGAAAGGCAGGAACTGTCTTTGGCTTCGGTCAATACGATAATTTATTTTGCTTTGATCCAGAAACATGCAAAAGGTCACTGATCTTCGCTTTCTCCTCAATGGGTATGAACTATCTTATTGGTTATATCTCTTGATATGCTGTTTAATTTCGTATTTCTACTTGAAAGCACGCTGTAGACACACAAGCTAGGGATAGATAGATTGGTAAATATACATACTTTATGTATTTTAGTGTGTAGTGAAGTATATAGTTTTGGCAAAATATATATCTTAATCACTGGAAGTGAATTGATATAGACAACACAGATCGTACTACCATGCATCATGAACTGGTCTGCGGAACTATCTGGCATATGTTAACAGAAAATTGATGTAAACAGAGTCTGAAAGGATAAGATTATGAGCTATCATGTCTATGATATCTTGGGTATTGGCTCCAGTGCCACACAAAGCCCTGACAAGTGTACTTACAGGCAACGTCGCCATAAAATCATTACGACACGCGTGAGGCCGAATTACTCCCGCGTAAAGAAGGCTCCGCAGAGACTCCGTTTTTCGCAAGGTCATTAGAGAGAGAGCAAGAAAGTGATTGCAATGAAACGGATACAGCAACACCAGCAACCGACACCATTAAGAGACGCGGACAGGGCAAGGTCAGTGCCTCCGGATCCTCGGCAGAGAGGCATTCATGGCGGGGTCAGTGCCCCTTTAAGCCCAAGCAAAGAGGTACTCCGGGAGGGGGCGGCGACGGCGGCGACCACGACCGGGTGAAAGCTCAGTTCCGGGAGTCTACAGGTTTCCCCCCTCCAGCACACTCGCCTAAACACCCCACTGCCTCTCTCCGCCACGACCTTGCTGCCGCTGTTGCCTCTCACCTGTATTGTTGCTGGTAGTGCACCTTTTCAATACAGCCTCCCAAGTTCAGGTCCCCTTCTTGCGCCGTCCTCTCCTCTGCCTGGCTCTGCGTTGCATCCTTTTTCTTACACCGCTTCGGGAGGAGTGTCTCTTCGGGCAACGCTCGAGGTGCAGGTAAGTTTATGGGGCAGAGCAATGATTAACGCCGGAAACGTTTATGTCAGATGCATGATTAACGTAATTACAGTGCGGTGGAGATATTATTCTAATCTGTAGGGTAGATGTTCACTTTCGTTAGACTGCATTACGCAACTCGTTACGTCTGCAGTATTTCTTGATTGTTTCTAACGTACAACTTTGGTCCATTATGAAACATTGCTTCAGTCAAAACAGTCGTAGCACTTTAGAGAAACATTAGAGAAACAGCCTGTTAAACTTAAATGCAGTATTCCATGTACCTCTCGAATGCAGAGGACCTTGGGGAATCCCACTTTACATTTTTCTTTTTCTTTTCCTTACTATTATTTTACAATAAAACTGTTTGATTGATCTGCAGTATATCTATCACCATTGCATTCAGCCCTGAACAGCTATTGCAGTGTACGAGGTTTGGTTATGGCCACAGAAAAATCGCATAAAAAATGAGCGTCTAAAAGTATTTTGAAACAATTGGAAGACTCTCACTGGAAAGAAAAACAGCATTCTCACGCCCACGACATACAGTTCCCATGAAGACATCGGCTATTTGTTCACTGGGTTCTAATGAGTGATAACCTCGAGTGTTTATTCAGTCCCGATGAAAAAAAGGAAGTGCTATCCCCTATGATTTACGGAGGCCACGGTAACGCCTTAGCAATGCTTGTGAGTCTTTTGAAGCTTTGAGAATGGGCATAGTAGGTCTTATCTATATACACGTTTTTAGATATAAAATACGGCCATATAGTATGCAAGGAAAAGTATGCTCTTATTCAAATAATAAGTGTACATATTCGATCTGAAGATACTGACACGATCCTATTTAAATGAAGTTTATATCGTTACTTAAAGGAGGAAGTGTACTTCTATTCAGACCTTCTCACGCATTCGCCACGTCTTCGGAAGAGGGTCAGCACTCGCGAAGCTGAAGCCGTCCACGTCAGCGCCCCTTCGTCACCACAGCAGGCGGCGGAGGTGGGTGACGGCCGCACAGACGTCGGCGGCGGTCTCGGGGCGCAGGGCCGGGACATGGGATGGGGCGGGGAGGGGGTCCCTGGTGGATGGCTGCCTCGCTACTTGAAAGCAGATTACTATTTGCGGGGCGTTGAAATTCCCCAAATGCCATCCCGTTACAAATGTCTTGCTTTGGGGGAAGTTAAGATATTCTCGTTTACCTTACAGTGAGAGGTGTTGATTGTCTCTTCGTGCATATATATATATATATTTGGATGAACTGAAATTGAAATCACACACACACACACACACACACACACACACACACACACACACACACACACACACACACACACACACACACACACACACACACACACACACACTCGTACACGATCCCGCGCACTTGTGTGTGTGTGTGAGTGTGTGGGTGGTTGTAGGTGTTCGCCTTTGTACATATGCATATTTGTGAGTCTGCGTGACTTTACACATTACCATGCACGCACCAACGTGAGAAATCTCCCTTTTATCCCACTGCTCATAATGAAGACACAGGCACGAGCGCCACAGCACCTTTGGTTCTTGTTAAAACCTCCCCAGATTCTCGGATGTTCGTCCTCCCGAGCGCCGAGTCCCTAGATGGCGAGCGGAGAATGAAAGGCCTGACCGCTGACGGCGCCTCCACTTTCTCCTGAAGGTCGTCTGGAATTTGATCGCGGTTCCGGGTTAACATTAACATAGTTCCGGGTGAAATTCCGTTCTCCTGACAACTGAGATTTAAAGCAGCGAGCTAGGGTTTCTGTCACCGATTTGATTTACTTAGCATAGACGGTTACGGGCTCATGTGAGTCCCGGGATTTTACTCTCACTCCTCTCCCTGGGTGTGGACGCGGCAGGACCGAGGGAATGACGGGGCCGCCGGAGGAATGAGAGAGCCGAGGAGCTAGTTCTTCGTGTTGAGAAGAGCTTTGGAAACAGTTTTTGGTGAAGAAACATAAGCTGTGCGAAACATGTCACTGCACTATACTCTATATCAAGATAGCTGAAAGACCTGTGGTGCATTGGAATAGATATGAAAATAGTTTTTGTTGGAGAAAGAGAAGCAGTACGAAAGCACAATGTGCCTAGTGAAATTGCTGACGTCACATAAGCACGTTAAACAGAGCTGGATGAATAAGGTATGAATATATATGCATAAGGGTGAATAAGATACAGGAAGATGAGGAATACTGAACAGGGAGTGACTATATAAAAGGCCTTTGGAGGTATGGTTAATTTTGTCAGACTGAAAATCTAGCAGCAGGCTATTGTATACAAAGTGTGTCAGGTTAATAGACCATGAGTAAACCGGGCCTACTGTGCTGCCTTTGACTGGGTTAAAGGGAAAATAATCATGGCAAAAATAGTAATATTCATCACGTGGAAGTACTGTTGTGTCTCTGGAATTGACAATGAGTGATAAGCTTAGGTTACTATTGCATGAAATATAACTGTTTCATATCAAAGAACGTTGACTCTCGGCAAAAAAAGGAGATATCTTAATTTTATCTCGAAATTTCTTCTGCTTCCTAGTCCAAACCACATACGAGTTAAATGACAAAGTTCCATCTCATTTATAATTTGTATTTAAGTCCAGCTCTCCATATCCGCTGAATTCCAGATTTTCTTTTCAGTTCTTAATACGAGGCCCCTTCTTGTTTCCTGATTGAAATGTAGC